GTACGGCAGTGAGGGATTTGGAAGCATTAGAAGTGGAGCTGAGGCCAAGTTTTCTTTCAATGTCTTGAAAGCACGCTGGCAAGAAACTGTCCATCCGAACTCCTGGCCTTTTTTTGTTAAATCATTTAGTGGAGCAGCTATAGTTGTAAAGTCCTTCACAAACTTCGAATAATAGGTACAGAGTCCCAAGAAACTTCTAACTCTCCCACATTGTCTGGTGTTGGCCAATCACGCACTGCTTTCACTTTGTCAGGATCAGTTTGCACACCATGCTCACTTACAATGTGACCCAAATAAAGCACCTATTTCTGGAACATGTGGCATTTCTTGGGATAGAGTTTGAGGTTTGATGCTTTCAAACGCTTGAATACTCCCTCTTGCTGGGACATTTCCTCATCAAACGTTGTTGCAAATACAGTGACATCATCCAGATACACTAGGGCTATCTTCAATTGTCGGCCTTCCCGTACTCTTTCCATCAGCCTCTCAAATGTTGCTGGAGCATTGCTAAGCCCGAATGGCATCACAAAGTATTGCCAGAGATCTTGGCTATAACTAAATGCAGTCTTAGGTTTATCTGCTTCAGCCATTTTCACTTGATGGAAACCCGACTTTAAGTCTAGATTTGAAAACCACCTGGCTCCACTTAAAGCATCAAGAGTATCATCAATTCTTGGCAGTGGGTATGAGTATTTTTTGGTTATACTGTTAAGAGCCCTGAAGTCCACACAGCAACGTTTGGTCCCTTCCTTCTTCTGGACTAACACAATGGGAGCTGACCAGGGACTATCTGATTTCTCGACTATCCCTACCTTAATTAGACCATCCATGACCTTCTCCATCTCTTGTCGCTTTGCCGGGGCTATTCCCCTTAGAAGGATCTTTATTGGATGGTGATTGCCTGTGTTTATTCTGTGCTCCACGAGGTCATGATATCCTTTTGAAAAGACATCTGCATAATTTGCCAAAAGTTCCCTAACCTGAAGAGCCTGTGGTGATGACAAATGGACTATACTCTTCTTATAGGGGTCAGTTAAATGTTCTGGGGAGAGGACGTCCTTTCTTAATGGTTGTATTTCTTGCATTAACATTGACTGGCTCTACCTGCTGGCACACATCCAACAATGCCCCATCCTTAAGTGTCTGCTTACATTTAGAGAAATTGACCACTGTTATGGGTTCTACTTGATGACCTGCCACATGTGACCTTCGAATCTTCACATCTGCTGGCCTGGATGGGTTTTCCACTGCTTCCAGAAGCATCAGGCTTCCTTGGGGATGTTTTTTTATTCCACCCCAAATTATTTTCTCCAACGTAGGAGGTATTGTAGTTGACATAAGTGTTGTGACACACAAATCAACAGATGCAGCAACACTTACTGGAATTTGGCCTTTGTTGTTCCCAATCGTCATTTTATTGAAGTTAACTCCACATTTTCTCGGTAGTAAGTAGTGCAACCCTAATATGCATTGGTCTTCAATGTCAGCCAAGTATACTTTGTGTCTGTCTTTTATGCCCATGAGCTCAATAGTTACCCACATTGGTCCCCACAACCTTGCAGAATGTCTTGTCACACCACAGAACTTCTGTACAGCTTTTTGTACTCCTTTGTGATCCAGCATCTTGATACTCACAAGGGTTTGTTAAGATGCAAAATCTATGACGAAGTTGCACCTTTGGCCATCCAGCTTCCCTGTCACATAGACACTATGTGTGATTGCCATTTTACACCTAGCCATTGGGACTTTCATGAT